GCAGTTGTCAATAGTGCAGCCATGTTTAAATGGCATATATAGCCACATTCCATTAAGCATTTTTTTCTCTATTTGCAATTCCCAGAGAGTTTACATTATAGCCAGTGATGGTCCGGCAAAGTAATCTCCATCCATGCTTGTATGGCTGCAGCTTGGGGAGAGGAAAAGCTGGAAAATTTTCCTGAGTTTAGGGTTGTTGCCAGACTTAGCAAATAAAGATAGGCCACCCAGTTAAATGTAAATTTCATTTAAGCAGTGAGTATGTTTTTAGTATAAATATATCCCATGCAGTATTTGGGACTTACTATACTAAAAAGAAGCCTTGGTGGTGCAGTAATTAAGAGCTATGGAAGCTAACGAAAAGGTCAGCAGGTCGAATCCACCAGCTCCTTGGAAACCCTATGGGACAGTTCTACTCTGTCCTATAGAGTTGCTATGAGTAGGAATCCACTTGATGACAAAGAGTTTTATATTAAAAAAGTGTTTGTGTTTTCTCTGGCAGCGCTTCTTGGTTGCTAGTTCTCTCTGGTTGTATCACTGCCTTTTGCTTGCCCTCTCTGTCTGTGTCTCTTTCAACTGTCCAAATTCCAAAACGTTAGTAGGCTCTACAATAGAAAGTGGTACATGTATGTAAAACATGAGTTGAAATAAGGGCAAAGTTTCCAGCCTGTGAGCCCTTATGTTGGATCAGTGCTTCCTGACCATCAGCTGAAGTCTAGCTGAACATCTGATTACAGGGTACACTGTACACACTACACCAGGCACTGCTCACTTTCTGCTCACTTTGATAAAGATATCTGAAGGAAAAAAGGAAGTGATCTTCTGAGGGAAGTCCACTGATAAGCATCAGCAGGCTCGGGTGAGGAAGTGAGAGGAGCGTTGTGCACCTGGTATTCCCTGGCTATCTCTGTCTCCTTCCTAATCTCAGCAGCCCAGGGTCATCGCTCATGTTCTGTCAAATTTAGTTTTGGTTTGTTGAAATGTCCTCAATACTACACAACCTTTTTCTTCATTCCTGTTAGATGCTAAATCAGCCCAGTGAATTACTCTTCTTGGGGGATGGCGAAGGGGAAGGAAGAACATCAAAATCACCATCTCAGATGTCTCAGTTAGGCAAAGGTAGAAATGACTAAAGGCGGGGAAATTAAAGAGAAGTGAAATCTCCATCACAAAGCATGATGTTTCCACATATCCAGATGTTTGGTGTGCTCCAGCCCAAGTTCTGGTAATTGACTTGAGCTCCCCTTTTCATAAGCACTTTATTGTTAGGTAGACCATGCAGGCAGGAGCGTGCCTGGAGGTAGAAGAACAGTGTGGAGTCCAGTGGGACTGGAATAGTGTGATGGGGGGAGAATAGTAGGAGACAATGTCATAGGGTAAATTGCTAGTAGTGGGGTTTCAGATCTCATAGAGCCTGTGAGTGATTATAACAACTGGTATTGTCCTGGAGTGATGCAAATGGTCAACACCCTCGACTGCTAACTGAAAGATTAGAGAAGAAAGTGCTAGTGGTCTACTTCTGAAAAATTAGCCATTGAAAACCCTATGGAGCACAGTTCTACTCTGACACACAAGGGGTGGCCATTAGTTGGAATCATCTCCCTGGCTATTGATTTTATGGTCAGTTCATCAGAATATTTGATTAACTATTAAGGGATCCTGATGGTAAATATAATTAGGAGTTTCAGAATGGGAGAGACCATGGGAACCAAGGATGAAGCTAACTAGATGCTGGAACATGGGGTTCACTATGGGTCCTGAGGAGCAGGTGGCAGGCAGGGTGAGAGCATTCCTGGAAGAAGGCCCTCTGAGGATGAAAGCAGAGAGATGGGGACTGTGAAAATAGGAATTGTTCTAGATGGGGCCTTAGGTGATGACTGAGATAACATAGGAGCTGAGCCAAGGAGGGCTTAGGCAGCAAAGCCTGGGAAAACCAGTGTCTGGGCGGGCGTGGGATGTGATAGACAGGAGATGGTGGGGGGTGGAGTAAAGGCAGAAAACAGAACCAGAGCCAGACTAGTGTGGCTTAGAGTGAGAAAATGCCTAGACCTGCAGGTTGAAGCAGAGTGACTGTCAAAACTAGCCGGGAAGTCCAGAAGATGTGTTGATGTCGAGAGAGAGGTTGGATCAGGTAGATAGCTCAGGACCATGATCCCCTGGGGCAAGACAGAGCAGTACCCTGACTGGCTGTGGAGCACTGAGGGCAGCTGTCTGGATAGTAAGCCTGCTGAGGCAGGAAGGAGCCCAGAGTGAGACCAATGCACCTTCCAAGACTGCTGCAGTGTTCGGCCCTTCCCCAGCATTGTCCCCTGATGGGTGTGGATTGGCTTCTCTTGGATTTTGCTGGGAACAGGAAGGAATGAGGTAGAGCAGAGAAGGTGGATTTAGATTTTGAAAGACTTTGGAAGTCAGGTAGAGGAGTTTGATTTTGATGTATGCACAGCAAAAAAGAACAGTCATTTAAGGCTGAAAGGAGTCAAATAATGGGGGAAAAATAGAAAAAGGACAGCAAAAGACTTAGAAATAAACACGAGGGAACATAGAGGGGAGAACAATGAAGAAATGATCAATGTGGAACAAAATGCAACAAATCAAGAAATTTAATTGTCATAAGTCTAGTAGCAGAGGTAAGATAAACAAATGAATTAAAAAACCCTATAATATAAACCAAAAATAATATAAGAACTACTACGGGAATCACAAAGTAGAAGAGATTATCCTCAGGGAGAAGGTGACAGTACAGTATTAAGGGTAAGTAGGGTTTGACAGAGGTGGGAGAGTGTAGAAAGTGAATTCAAGATGGATGAGGTACTGTAAACAAAGTTAGAGATGGGCGACTGTAGAGCTGTACATGTCATAGGGAGTGGTCGCATATGGCCAAGACGGAAGGTCAGTGCAAGAGAGAAGACTTGGGTGGGCTGGAGCTGGATGGTGGAGGACCATTCCTTTGCTGCTTCGTTGGTAGGAATGCGAAGCTGTGGTGTAGACGTGCCCTACCTAAACAGAGTATGTGCTGCTTTAGGTTTGCAGAAGGTTGGATCAGGTCCTCCCTGTTGACCCTGCCATGTTGTGCCAGGAAACGAGTTGCTCAGCTGCCCACAAAGAAGACTAAGGCATCCCGAGTCTGTCCACTCTCCCAGCACCCATCTTTTTATTGTTTCTTGGTGAATTTCAGATATCAATGCTGTCTCAGTAATAGACCTTTGATGTTTTTATTGTGAAGCTTTAATAAGCACTGTGTTATCAAGATGGTAGTTCAATAAATGACCTTTGGCTTTTTCTACATGTTGCGCCCAACTGAATTAGTCCATGGCCTTGGAGCTTACTCATCCACACACTCCACTTTGTCTCAGCCAGAGAGAAAACTCTAGGAGCATTTTCCGTGATTGATGTTCTCATACAAGACAAATCGTAGCCTTACCACTGTATGTTTTGAGTATCCTGGGTGTTCTGTGCTAATACAGACTGCTTTTGAGGATCTGGGTCTGTGGGTAATGTTTTACTTCTATGATGCACGTGTTAACAGGAAGCTGTGTGGAGGAGGAGGTGGGAAGAAATTACTGAAACGAAAGGTTGACTGGGCAGAACATCCTGGAGCTGAGGCCACCACTCTGCTATTCTATCACTCCTGTCTCCTCCTGTCTCCCGGGATCACACAGAAAAGGACTAACAGTCTCAGTGAGGCTTGGTTGTAGTTGGCCCCTGACTCATGGTGACTGCATGCACAACGGAATGAAATGCCTCTGGTCCTGCACCATACCTATGATCAAATATGGATTAAACCATTGTGATTCACAGGGTTTTCATTGGCTGCTTTTTGGAAGTACCTCAGTCGGCCTTTCTTCCTAGTCTGTCTTAGTCTGGAAGCTTTGATTATACATGATCAGCATTATAGCAACATGCAAGCCTCTATTGACAGATGGGTGGTGGCTGCTCATGAAGTACATGGGTGGGGAATTAAACCTGGGTCTCCCACATGGAAGGCAAGAATTCTTACCTCTGAATCATCACTGAGCAGCAGCTTACTATGGTATATTGAGTCAAGTCCAAACACTTTATACTGCCATCTAAGGCTCCATTCAGCCTTCCACGCACCAATATAGCTTCCCTTTGATGGTCCCCCGTGCAGATTTAGAGACACTTGTCTCAAACCTACCTATCTTTGAGAGCACATCACTGTTAACTTACTGGATGAGTTGAAAGAGCCATTCATGCCAGGAAGCAGAGAGGTTTAGTCAAACTCCAGATATGCAGCCCAGGAAAGAGACAGTAGATCACAATTTTAAACATTTCAATGTCCAGGATGAGAATGTACCATATAAACATGGGGGAGCAAATTTACATGCTTAAAACAAACCTGCATGCCCTGCATAACCATTGGGGAAGGGCTAAGCTCTGCCGAGTGCCCCCTGGTAAATGAACTGGAGCAGATCAACTATATCCCTGACCAGCCACCAACAAAGGTTTGCCATATGCACCTTGTTTTCATTAAGAGTTTATGCCAATGAACAGTTTCTCTCTATTTGTAATTCCCAGAGAGTTTGCATTATAGCCAGAGGTGGGTCAGGCAAAGTAATCTCCATCCATGCCTGTAAG